GCTTCTCTTATGAGTATTCATAAATGGATTATTTCGTAACACACCAAGTTTGGATAAATGGAAAGGATCTTTTTAGTTGAATTTAAAGTTATAAAACTTCATATAGAATTAATTACAAGAAATTATTAAAAAAAGTAAATTATTTAGAATTTATCGAAAACTTCAGAGCAAACTAAAAACAGTTCGAAACAGTTTGAGATATTGCGATTACACGCATGCACTATACTTCAATTTATAAAAGTAATAAATCTTGATATCATGATCAATTAAGATAAACATTTCTTACACGAAATACTTAAGAATTTTGATTAATTCCATATATTTTAACGAAATATGAATAAGTTATTGAGATCTGGAGTAAAAGTAAAAGGATTAAATCAGCAATGAAAGTTGTTATTTTTTTTTTGTAATAATAATATTCGAAACCGATCGATTTGAATACAATCGAATAATCAAAAAATATAATAAAAATTTCTCGTTCTCCTTTTTGGATTCCGTCGTGCACACGCACATTTCTTTTCTTCGCCTATACAACAGCAGCAGCAACAACAACAACAATAACAACAAATAATAACAATACTTTATATTGAATGGGTGATGGTGTGTATTTGTGGAAGCTGGTTTATTAAAGAATAAAAGGCTTTTAATAATAAATAAGTGGGATTGTCAGGTTGACCAACCCAAAAGTGGTAGCGCTACCGGTCAAACTAAATGAATATATGGCATTCCGTGGGTTGTTACCTTTGAGGCGCATATCAAAACACTTCTTCTTTTTCTTATTCTTCTTCATCATCATCGTCGTTTCTTCTTCTCTCGTTTGTGCATCTGTGAGGTTTGTAGAGAGAAAGAGATGAAGGAAAGAGTGTTTTTTCTTCTTCTCGAGAGGATCGTTCGTTATTTTGTGCGACTCTCTTCTTCTACCGCACTAGAGGTTGGTAATGTGAAAGTGGCAGCTGTTACACGCACACAAACACTCGCACCGACTGTCACTTGTCGATCAGAAAGGACGAAGGACGATCTAAATATTAACAAATGAATAATGCATAGCAACCCCACGTATTCAGCGCCGCGCAAACAGGCACAATGCGTTATGATATGGCCTTTTATAATACCATTTAGGGGTTGGAAAATCTATTTAAAATGTGACGTTTTACAGGATACATATGTGAGAGAGGAGAGGAGGACTTCTCTTTCGTTATGAAAGCGGAGGCGGCGGACCACCCCCTCGGGCTCATGCATACATACACGCACACACAGGGTATTCCCCTCTTTTCATATGCTAACTCGCGTTGTTATTATTATTATTAACATTTTAAAATGCGCGCCTTTGTGTTCATTAACGCGAAAACCCTCTCTCTCTGTATGTGTATGAGTGTATATACATATACATTTACCAACCCCTAACCGAAATAGAAACATTGGATGCTACAACACCATTGTCTAATCACCCCGTCGCTTGTTATCTTTCTACGTACACCTAAGCAAATGTTTTTCTTTCAATCACACCCCCATTCTGTCCGCAATTCATATATTTTTCTTTAAAGCCCTCCGCTGCATAAACACCAATTTACTCACTCTAATTCCAGTCTCGAGCAAATATTTCCACTTCATCATTAATAAATTACAACAAGAAAAAAAAAACAGCCAACAGAAAAAATAATCTACACTTGATCGAAAAGGGGTTGCACTTCGTGACTTTATTTCTGGAACCCATCAATTAATTTTCGTGTTTGTTCAGCAAATACGAGTTGATTTTCTTGAATTATTAATTATTGTTTACATTGAAAAACACCCACATTTGCGTATTTTCCTCTTTATTATTTATTTAACACGATTGAATCCTTAATCAATCGTATTCTTTGAATCAATTTACATCATTACTAATCTAAAACCTTAAATCTATATAAAAACAAATCTACATATCTACTCAACTTTATTTTAGAATTAATAAAATATAATGTAGTTAACTTAGTTTCTTTCTAATTATTAAGTTACAAATAATTAATGATTAAGCTTAAACAAAATATTATTTATAACATATTAATATTTAAAAATCAAATTTCTTTACTTTCTTTGCTGTAAAATTAAAAATTAAGACTAATTATATACAAAAACTTAATCTCTTTGCAGTTTAAATCAAATAATTTCAAAATATAATATTTATTAAAGAAATTGTAAAAAAAATATCTATAGAATTAATTCAAATTTTATTTGATTTATTTGATTGATTATGTAACTAAAACAATAATTCCATTATTTTCTTTGTTGCGCAAGGATAATCCGATTCAGCACAAAAAAAAAATAAGTACTGTGATAATCCTATTAGGAATTCGTATTACTTTTTATTTGATACATTTAAATACGTTTAATATAAATGCAAATATATTCAAATTATAAACAACATTTCTTTCCGAACAATTTAGTGGGTAACAAAATTAGAATACAAAATATTTACATTTACTTTTTTGCATGTCACTTTCTAAACAAAAGAAATAATAATATTTTTTATGGAAATCAAAATAAATATATGAAAGAAAATCATTTCCTAAGAAAATTTATTTTATATAATTGTTATTTGTACCGTATTCTTGAACATAAGACGATAATTTATGGGAATATTTTGAGAAAAGAGTTTTTTTTTATTAACGTGTAACAAATATTGTATCGATTTTTCTATGTAAAAAGATGCGTATTATAGTTAAAAAAAAATAAAAATACAAATTTATAGGTTTGAAACAATGAAGTCAATTAATTATATTTACATAAAGATAAACAAATTTAATTATAATTGAACCAAAATTTGAGATTTTTGCTAAATTTATAAGCAATTCCTATAATTTTGAATAATACTTAAAAATGTAATAAATCATCTTTTTAGAAATGGTGAACTAAGTACAAAACTTTAATTTTTAACAATCTATATTGAATAATTAAAAAATATTGAATTAAGTGCAAAAATGAAACGTACATTTAGCTAATTAATATGATTATTAATAAAATATATTTACTAACAGAGTTATGAAGCACTCGACAATGACATCATTTTGCTATTGTCGGTTATTTTTTTTTAGTAACAATCATAAACGTGGAATAACAATTGAAACCTTGCACTAATTGATATCATGCTTCATTTTTTTGTTGTTGTTTGTTATGTTTTTTCGGACGTTTCTTTTGTTCGTTTTTTTTTTCACCGATTGCGTATGTCGTATTCAAAATTACGGTTTATCCTTAAAATATGATTACGTAATTGCGATGCTCTACATATGTCGCACGTAATCTCGCCTGTCAATTGATAGAATGGGATGACAGTTGGTTTAGCCTTCTTAACTGACAAAGGAGCCGTACATTACATAATAATATTACTTAAGTCGTAATAATTGCATATAAATTTGAAAACACTCAAATTTAAGATTTATTCATATTAGTTTTATCTTGCATATATTGTTAATAATGATTTAGAAGAAACGAAATTTTTTTATTGGAAAAATACCAAATTCATATTTGTTTTATATAACAAATGCTATTAATAATCATCCAATACAACAATTTGTAGCAAATCCAAAATTTTATTGAAAATATACCAAATTTACATGAATTCATTTTTATTCATATTACAATTCATTGGTAAAATATAATTCTAAAAATGTTAGTTCAATGTGAATAGGATTAATTAATTGTAAAAGAAAATATAGATTTTGATCTATAAAGTCCAGTTTTATTACGTTTCTTTTGATGCAAAATTACTGTACTTCGATGGCATTGTTGTTCTTGTTCTATTAAGAGAGTAAAGTTTCTTCTTTAAACAAAGCTTGGAATAAAGAAAATAACCTGAAGCGATTAATATGAAATCGACGTGATTGGTTTGATTTGTTTTATTTGCGCGTTTCTCGGAAGATCAAAGCGGCGATCCTTAGTTTCCGAGAAAACTAAACAGAAGAATAATATATATATATAAAAGAACGTTCTCCGATCATTGTTCTGGTCGATGAATGGAGCAGAATCAATTTCTTCGATTAACTTCAACTTTGGGACCTCCGGTTTGGAGCGAAAGAAGAGCATCGTCTTTGCTCAGGATGAAAAACCAGTTGTATTTTTGTGTCAGTGATTTCGCCAGTGTTTAGGAATAAATGGCGAAAGAATGAAAAGTCCTCGGCTCGATCACAATAAAATATAATGCAAGCAAGAGGCACGCATCGCGCCTTTTGTGTCCGCCTTTGGATGTGCAAGAATGGGGCAATGAAAAGATTGACGATTTCCAACTAGGATAAAAGCAGTACCATCCATATACCTTCTTCTACTTCTTTTCATTCTTCTCTTATACACGTTTTTTTTTTTCGCTCTTCGTATTCTTGTGCTTGCTTCCCATTGTACGGCGACGGGATTTTTTCAATAAGAAAATGAAAAGTTGCTGCAGATGGTTGTTTTATTTTTTTTTCCTTTTTATTATTCCTCCTCTCCTACTAGATTTCTTGGTGTTTGGCGAGGTGGAGGAGGAGGAAGAGTAATCAGCACGTGGACGTATTTCGTACCTGAGACTTTCTTTCCTGTTGTTGTTGCTGTTGAAAGCCTTTGTTCGGAGATGATAATTATTATCGAACACGCGCCAGTTTGTAGCGTAAACTGTATGGATCCAGTTCAAACTGTCCTTTTATTATGTAACCGCCCTCAGTGTATACCAAGCCTCCTCTTCCCGCCGCCGCCACCGCCCCCGAAGAGCGGAGTCGTAGACAATGGCGGTAGCGTTGTCTCTTTAGTTGGGCCATTGTTGGATGGCTTTGTTCGCGAGAATAGATACTTCAAGTTACATCAATTCCGAAAGAGATTGTCTCTGATTGCTTTATCGCCGCTCCCGTGCCGTTTATTTTCCCGAGACCGGTTTGCTTTTAGCGCAAAATTAGTACCTACCTACCTACATACATACATATACACAGACTGAAAAGTACAGCCCTACGGCTACGGTTTACGAGCATGTTAACGAACGATCTTCGCTTTTTGTTTAGGTGCCGAGTGGAAGCTCTTGACGGAGGACGAGAAGAGGCCGTTCATTGATGAGGCGAAGAGGCTGAGGGCCATGCACATGAAGGAGCATCCGGACTACAAGTACAGACCGAGACGTAAGCCGAAGACGCTGAGGAAGGAAGGATACGCTTACTCGATACCGTACCCTTCGGTGCCGATGGACGCCCTCCGAGCTGGTGAGTGTCTTTATCGGTGGTCGTCTTCTATTTTTTTTTTCTTTCTTTTCCTCTCGCATCTCCACTTCTCCTTTCCCAGAAGGATTCTTAATGTAGGCGCTTTATTTATGTGTCAATCAAAGCTCATTTAGCCGATGCTTTTGACAGCCTTGATTGGTGTGCACGTAGTGATTTATCGTCGGGCATATAGTGAAGACAAGGAACGGCTCGTAAGTGACAGATGCGTGTTGTATAATTTCACATCTTCGGGATATGCCGTTCGTTGGCTCTTGCTCTCGCTTGCATCGCACCGGCGAGTTAAAAATGATGACTTCATCCTTATCCTCAATTATTGATGTGATTCCATACCCAACCGAGTTTTTTCTTCTCTCTCTCTTTCTCTCACCCATTCTTCTCACATCTTCCTCTCGCTCTTTCTTCACTTTATCTGATTAGTGCCATCGTTAACCTTTCCCGGAGATAACCAACCTCCTCGAAGCCTCGATAATTATTTATTGAACTCTAAAATATACTTATTGTTAATGCAATTATCGGATTCAATGAGGACGAACCGAACAATTATACCTCATCGAACAACCAGTACAGATTGGTATTGTGTCCATTCAAACAAGTACTCATCAATTTGTTCAAATTTTCAATCAAATCTTCAATATACAATTAATACCAACAATACAATCTTTAAATTTAATATTTCATCTTCAACAGTGATTTACATTTGCTTCAATTTATCCAAATTATTAAAATTCAAACAGTTTTAATTGCTGGACAATTTTGACAATGTTTTAAGTCTAAAATGTTCACATTTTTTACAATTTCTACGCGTTATTCAATTGTATACTCCTCTATAACTTATCCTCAATGTTTAATAAAGACAGCAAATACAAATCTCTAGTCTGGTTTTACCGCGAAAGAAATGGCGGCAAATTTAAACGTTTGTTATTTTTGGGACATTGTTATCTAACCAAAATGACTCATTTATGACTGATTGTTATTTTCATTCATTACTATTTACATTCATTATAATTCTATAAAAGTTTTACACAAACCATCAATCATTGCATTCTGAAATGTATAGTATTTGCTTAGTTGATGATGTAAAGTTTGAAGGTTGCCTGGAGATTGTATTGACGATATGTAATCAAAGAGTGTAAAAATCCCAAAGTTAAGAAAAACGTTTAATTGCGCAATAAAATAAAGGTTTCAAACACTGACAATTGTCACCTTATGTCAAAGCGAGGAATTGATTAAAAGCTTTTAGTAATTAGGTCGCAGTACAACTACAAAGGTTGAAAAAAGTTGGTTTAGAACATTGGACAGATATGATTTATATAATAAATAAATAAATAAATAAAATTAGTAATTTGTTTCAATTCCTTTAATTTATTTAATTTAATAATTTAGTCCAAAGATAAAATAATAATTAAGCTCTAGACCAATAATTATATACATTTATTTACTATAAAATGTTTATGCATGTGAAGAGTTCAATTTAATTTGTATTCTTATCTTCCATCTCTTAAATTAACAAAGTTTGTATAAACAGTTAAAAAAAAACGAACAATTTGCATTGGAATTAACGAGTTTCCACAGACGATGTTGATGTTTTTATGCAAAAAAAAAGTTCTACAAATAGCGCATCATTAATATCTTGTTAGAGTAATCTAAGACACATAAATTTGCTGAAACGATTTTTCTCTACTCGTGAACAAAAGCAGTTTGTTACCATCAAGTAGCAACGAGTAACTCTTCGTGATCGTCGGTATTTGCATTCGTTTTTTTTCTTCTTTTACTGTTTTTTTTGTGTATGTAATTAATGCAAATCGGGGATGGCCTAGAAAGATGCCGTAAGTCAACGTCTTCGGTAGCATTTCGCATGATGGCTTCGTTAGGTTTCTTCATTTTTCTGAAGTCTGCTGAAGTCGTTCGTGGTGGCTGCTGAAGTCGTCGCGACAATAAATTCACACATTTGTTATACACGTTGCTGTATCAGGCGGACAGAAAGGGTAGGAAAGGAAAAAAAGATGGAAATGAAAGAAGAAGGGAAAATAAGCTAATAATTTAGGGCATTAAGAGTGGCCTCGCGTGAGCCATAAATTATCGGGCGGACAGCACGCATACAAACACACTCTCTCTCTATATATATATGAAGTGAGAGTATGTGTGTGTGTATATATGCATGTGATATAATGGATCGCTACGGATGCCAAATAAACATTTTGTACGTACAAAACGTTCTCGATTATTAACTGTTTGCGTTTTGTAATGCTCCGACCAAAACAATGTTATTAATGACACTTCATATTTACTTCACACGAGAGTGTATTTTATAATTTTGCGAGACCGACCAAATGAACACACATAACGCACTCGCACACGAATGCGCGCGTATTGTAAAATCAATTGGAACGAGATTCATTCAGTTCCTATTCACTTTTGCTTCTCTGACAACTCAAACTATATTTATACTTAAAAGCATTCACAAAACTGTGATAACATAACTTTTCACAATAGTTATATTGACTACTTCTATATCAGAACCTACTTTTTAAAACTATATACAGCTACACCTCGCATAGTCCGGATAATCGGTAAACCCAGACTGTTCGAATAAATGAAAGCAATAATTTCCTTGAAAATAATATAATTATAATATATATTTCCTGATTTTATTTCATGGTGTTTTGAAAAAAAGAAAACAATTAAGTTTTGCTGCAATTCAATTCAATAATAGTTTTGTTTTTATTTGACATTTTCTAAAAATTTGACGAATTTGACTAAAAATTTGTTTAGAATGGTTAGACTTTGTAATTTATAATGCATTAATAATTACACAATATGCTCAAAATATTAATATTTTAATAGTAATTATGAATTAATTTAACAATTTGTTAATAATTATTATAAGATTGAGATAAGATTTTAATACAAATTGATGTGAAAGGATATTGGCTGAAAGTACTAAATCCAATAAACCAAATTCACTTTGAATTGTGTTTCATAATATGTTGTAGAAACATTGTAATTTTGATTTATGTATTTCAACTAAAACGTTTTGAATTATACAATTTGCAATCTACAAATGTGTAATAAGCCTTGTAAAAATGAATGGATTTGTTAATGCTATAGTATCGTTACACAAACCGCAGTAGTATTTAGTACTTAAGTACTAAAATTGCATACCTTTCAGATAATAAGATTGGAGATGTCATATCTGCGATAATGTTAAGCATTTAAATGGTAAATAATTATGGAGCTCGAACAACAATTAAGTTTTGCTGCAATTCTTTTGTTTTTATTTGACATTTTCTAAAAATTTGACGAATTGGCTACAATGGTATCACTTTGTAGTTTATATAACAAAATATATTTAATAATGCATTAATAATTACAAAATATTAGTATTTTTATATTAATTATGAATTAATTTAATAATTATAATAAGATTGAGATAATATTTTAATACAAATTGATGTGAAAGGATATTTGCTGAAAGTACTAAATCCAATAAACCAAATGAGTGGAAAAAAAAAACAGTCATGCCATTAATCATTCCTTCTTGCGTTCTTCTGCTCTTTCCATGGGATCGTTCAGATTACAGCATAAAATTACATTTGTCACAGTCCGTCGCGCGAAATGCCACGTGTCCCACGGTCATCCGGAATCGCCATCAGAGATTCCGTAATTGAATCAGATCTCATTGCGTTCATTTCCCACCTTACATTCCAAAACGGCTGAGAAGAAAAAAAAGAGAGAGAAAAATAAAGGATCAGTTAAGTTGAAAGTCCGCTCCTGGTCGTTGGTGGTTCGCAGTAGCCTCACCAGGTGTCTAACAGGCGTCGGTAGTCGTCCTTTTATCCAAATTATTTCATATCTCTCTCTCTTTCTCCTCTTAATACTTTATTTTTATCTCATCTTCAATTTCATCTTGTTGAAGAACGTCGGCAGGAGATTAATGACGGCGATTTCGTTTCGAAATCGGTGTCGTACGGTTTGCGCAAAAACGTCGGACGGGGGGACAAGCATTGTCCACCAGCATTATCTTCTTTCGTCTTCGTGCAACGGAGAAGAAATAATGAAAGAAGACGTACAATGCGATTGTTGTGCGATCAATAATGCACGGCTCCCATTCAAATTGGATATATTTTGTGCGTTTATTGCGAGAAATCCCAGGTAAATATCGACCGGATTTCGATGTGCGTTCGGAGGTGGAGTCGTCATCGTCGTCGTCGCAGTGTAGTTATGAATACATCACTGTAATCTACCATATGTGGAGACGAAAAGGCGGCGGCGGCGGTGGCAGGAGGTGGAGGACTTCGGAACAGAAGCTTCTTTCCCAGACCAGAGCCGATTCACGTATTTAAATATTCAGGACCGAATATCTTGCGACAACACGTGACGGACGACGGCAGGCGATCTTCTTTATTTCTTCGATGTCTCTCTTACCGAGAACCGAACTTCGCTTTGTCACAACTTTCGCACAAATTCACGACATTTCCCACACGCCCGAAACACGCATCAATCACAACCCCCAAAACACATTTTTTTCATTTTGATCACATAACAATCCACTATAGTAAATGTACTGTAATTTACATTAAACTTTCAATACGTGAATTGCTCCAAGATTAGCGTGAATACACCCTTCTGTTATCCCACAGTTAAAGCATTCTATATAATACAAGTGGATTTAATGTCATACTATTCAACTCATTTATTATCAAGTAACTTGTCAAGTATTGGCCAAATCCTGCCACCTAAACTAAAGCTGATATCATAAGCACTTAAGTAATTTATTTAGTAAACATTACTTAATGTTAGAAATAATAAATAGATCATTATTTTTGCAAAAATTAATATAAACATGAAATATTCCAATTCTTATTAAATAATTTTTTTAGTAGTGAAGTTACTAACTTGATAGATTTTTATGTCTTGTTCAACAAAAAGTGTGTTAGGTTATAAAAACTAAACAATTCACTTTGAATTGTGTTTCATAATAT